GCATCCATTGCTGAAAGAACGACAATCTGCGCTGCAGTCGACTGCGCAGTCGTGCTAAAAGAACGAATTACTACAAGAACTGCTGCATCCGATGCCTAAAAGAACGCACCCTACCTATCACAACACTACACCTCCGTACACTCTCCCGTCGGACAATAATGGCTGCGTTCCGCAAAGCGCATCATGCGCATAATGCGCTGCGTTGGAGCAAAAGAGATACGAGAGTGAGATAAAAAGAGAGGGAGAGTACTCGGGTGATGTTCTCGAACGCATGAGAGCGCATGGACTACATTACCTCGGGAGCTGAGGCAGCCTATGCGCTCTCATGCGTTCGAGAACATTACCTAAGTGCTCTCCCTCTCTTTTTATCTCACTCTCGTATCTCTTTCACTCTAATGCAGCGTATCATGCACATGATGCGCTCTGCGAAACGCAGCCAATATTAACCTTGAGAAATGAATTTATGGATCCTAGGAATTTTTGAACGTTGCCAATGCTGTCTCCTCTTTTTTGGGAAGATCCCGAATTCCCACAGTACGATTGACCACAAATTGTAATGATTGGTTCGATCTGGTAATTCACTAGATAATTCTTATCATCGATTGGTTTGTGTGCAATCGTACTCTAGGCAATTAGGACGCTCTCCTCTTTTTTTATGAATTTTGTCCGCTTAGGGCCGGCGCACGAACATTGCCGTAGCTCCTTACGCCACCTAAAGCCCATTCTACAATTGCGTAAGCGTAGTCGTGAACGTAAGAGTCAACCAATCCGAATGTTTTATTCACTGATTGCTTTACTCTGATTGGTTGTCGTAATCACTTACAACCACTTACATTCACGTTTACGCAATTGTAGAATGGGCTTTACGTGACAATCTTACGTTACGTGAGACGTAAGCTGAACGTACGGAGGTGGGAGCCGGTTGACCACGATACAATTGGACACAGATTGTAATGATTGGTTCGACCTAGTAATTCACTAGATAATTCTTTTCATCTGTTGGTTGTGTCCAATCGTACCGTGGTCAATCGGGACGCTCCCGAACGTACGGCAACGTACGAAAATTTTACGTTACGTTACGTTACGAAGGAACATAGAGGTTCTGTGACAAAGGTAATTAAATCAGATTATTGAACAATAAGTAAAGAAACAATAATAATTTATCTTTACAGCCATAATTAGAAATGTCTATATTGAGTACATATTAATTTTATTAAATTGTTAAATGTATCTGTCCAAAATTATAAACATTACGC